CTTCATGTTGATTTACTGCCTTAAGTTCATAGGAAGAAAGAATTTCCAATCTTTAAAAAATGTTTTGCTTGTGCTCAATAAGCTCAGCGATCCTGGGATTCACTTGGGTGCTCTTGTGCAAACAATTCCGGAACAAGCTGGTCGTGATTGCTTCAGTGCATTGTCGAACGGGGTCAATTACAGTATCCCACGGTGAGAGAGGTGCCCATCCCCAACTGTGCGTGCAATTAACACCTCTTACAGATGGTTAAAGGCTACACAAAGCACGCATAGGCTACGAAGAGTCTATAAGCCTCCACATCACTCGAAACGATACGCAGAACGAAACTGGGCAATTACTGGAATGGTTTAAATCTACAGTCTCTCTTATACATGGATTTTTAAAGGTTTTATCGGCCAAAATATGCTTTAGTAGAAGACAGAATATCCAAATAGCAACCTGCACTGACTTTTCCTTTTTGAGTCGCTACTATTACACATAATAAACTTTTTTCAATAGCGATTAACACCCATTTATATGATGATAAACATGGGGTTCGGTACATTTGAAAAAATCGAGTGGAGTAAATGCATATGGATAGTACATGTCATTATTAATTTTATGAGAGTTTATTCCTTTTATGATCTTTACACTCCACCTTATTTTGAGCCTGTTCGTGCTTTGTCGACCTTAATTTCTTTGTTCTCAATAAGTAAAATTATTGGTTATTTATTCATTTATCGTGTCATCGTTGCTGGAGAGTTTCTTAATGTCGAACTACATGCGCAGCTGAGACTCATTCTTCGGCAGGATCACTTAAGCTGAAAAATATTTCGGCATTTGTAGGGAGAATTCTAGCTGAAATCAAGATAACTTGATCCAGAGGGCTTTTAATAACTGCCTTATAGTCCAAATAATAAAAACATACAGCATAGTGCAAGAATTGTGACCCTCTTCGTGTCCCTAGAGCCAACGGATCTGATTAGGCAGCACCATAAGCGCGCCAGACGCATGAGGAAATTTTACCAGTGCCCACTGATACTCTTTGTAAACGCATTACATTAACATGATGAGCATCGTAATTGTTAGCCCTTGAGTGATCGCAACTTTAAGGCTTCTTTCTGTTCCGCTTGTTCTTTTTGCGAAAGATTTCATAGAACACATTATCCGAGAAAGTCAATGTTTGATGATTTCCACCAACCTCATCCAAAGGCGATGCTTTATATGATCCTCAAGCAATTTCAGTGCAATTTTCAGGCCACCGTTTCATTTCATCACCGTTTTTCCACGCGGTTTTTTTTCCAAGTTCACGGTCTCGGAAGCTAAGAGATTGAGCAATCTTTTGTTCAAATAATATGACTTTGGGACATTTGTTCGCTTTTTATTTGATACCCTCATATCGTGTGAGAATAATGAATGTTTGCAGCAAAATGTAGCACGAAAACCTCAGCCGGACAACGTCGGCAACTTCCTGCGTAACAGTGAGTGATCTGGTACCCCATGGTGTTAGATGGGCATGATACAGGACGTCAGACGGAGCAAAGAGTAAACTTGCGCTGAAAAAAACCGCACTAATTGCCCGACCGGTGTCGGCGCATTCGTGCACCTGACGTCCCCTACGACCGTGGCTCTCCATTCCATCCACTCAGAGCTCATAGAACTCAAGAATAACAAAACCCTCACCCAGAAGTCGCATGTACAATGTCTCCAACGCCCATATATAAGTGGATTTTAAAATAAAATGGTCCAACCACTATGTTGCTGAGATATTTACAAAACCTGGATCCTGACTTTTTGCAAATCTCTCGGCATCATAGTGCTTGTATTTCAGATCATACTCTGCCATCAAAAAACAATAATAGGCAGTAAACAAAAAGTTGAAACTATCCAATTCCAAATTTTGATAACGGGACTCATTTAGCAGAAGAAATAATTGCGCTTGCATTCGAAAGGATGTGATTTGGGAAAAATTTTGGATCTCAAATATCGAATCGAGACAGACACGAGAATGAAGCTCATGAGAACGAATCATTAATTGCACGAACAAAAAGGAGATCGGATGACAGTGATATGCAGCTGAAGAACCGATGTAATACGAAACCTATTCGACCTTATACATATTCTCAACGGGCAAGTTGTGAAGCGACTGCGGAGCAGACGTTCTCGATCGTGGCAATGCGCTCTGGATTGACAAAACATAAAACAACTAGTAGCAGTGTTAGAAAAAACCGTCTTTTGTCAACCGTAGCTTAGGGCCTTCATTGTAGGTGTTTACGGGAGATGTCATACAGTCCACTAAAAAGAAACAAACAATATTTTGGTCTTCCAAGCGCTAAAATTCTAAAATACTTTTCCTCGCGGCGGACTTTCAAAAGATGTTTTTCAACCTGTGGTTTTCGAGCCACTAGGATTCGATCCACTCAAGCAGTACATCGCCGGAAAGTTAAACAGCGCGTTGGACAGCCGAGTCGAATTGATGCCGATCTGAAGATGGCTATAATCTCGAAACAGCAACAATAGAAATATTTAACAACTTCGCATCAACTTGCAGAAAATCAGTACTCCGATTGTTCAAAGTAATGCTAATGGAAAATCGGTTAAAAACGAGAGCCGGAGAAAAGACAAAATTTTTCAGTGCCTTCAATATCATTGGCGTCAACGGTGAGCGTAATGGAATGACAAAGAGCCTGGGACAACCTGTTATAAGAGATAATTTTTTCTCAATTTTTTTAGTTTCCACAATATCCGAAATGAAATCCATACTTATTTCTTCACCTATCTTTTCTTCATAAAGTTTGAAATTGTGATCAATCTTTTTATCATACGGAATAAATCAACGGAAGGATCAAAATCACCACGAGACAACAGAAATCACCAGAACAGCAGGTGGTGGGCGCAGCCGGCAATGGGGACTACGGTAACGTCGTGAGGGCGATGCATCGGCGCCAAAAAGCAGACCTGGGCGACGACGTCAATATCCGTAATTGAAATGCTGGCTCGCATGTCGCTGCAATTCCATCCGACATCTACCGTATGCCAGCAGAAAGTGCTGGCGAGGCACGATGGTCCGGCCCACGGTCGCTAAGAGAAATCGGCGCGACTGGGGTTCTGTGGGACGAAAATGCTTCCTGAGTGCGCTGAAAATTTCCAGTGAAAAATTCATCAACTTAAACGAAGCTTCTAAGGACTTTGAACTGCAGAGTGAAGGGTAAACGTCACAGATTCAAGAGGTGAAGGGCCTTTTCATTCAAATAAACAGCACAAATTGCATTTGCTTCTAAACATTTAGATGTTTTTCCACAGTTGAAATGTTTTGAAGACTAAGGCTATTTCCAATTTTTTTTTCAAATGCAATCTTCAGTTTCATTGAATTAGTGGCGGTCATTCGAGGTATTTTCCTACAATATTAAAACGTTATGAAAAGGATAGTTTAGTAAATTGTGGTTTTTATCTGTTTCGCGCAAAAATAGGAAAATCACGCTTGTAAGATTAAAACAAAACTGTCTACAAGGAGAAGAGCACATTAGGGAGTGTTACTGAGAAAACCCTATTCGTTAGTAGTTTTGATCAAACAGTCAGTTGGACATCAGTTGGACTATTTGGCTCATATTTTACAAACCGACTTCTTTTAAACCCTTGCATGATTAATTAGTACGCGTTCTTTCTTTAATATTCTAACACGAGGTTAATAAAGAATCTTATTAAATGCAATCAAGTTTTTATTAACATCGTGTTAACTTATCAATGGAAGGGTGTGTACTTGGATTATATCAAACCATATTTGTACTGCAGTTTACTCGCTCTTTCTAGCTCTCATAAGGGTGGTTTGCACTATAGAATCACAACGACGCGCATCCTGGAAGAGTTCAGCTCCCTTGTTTTGTTTTCTCCGAAACAGCAAGCTCATCAGCGAGATCGACGAACAGCTATCGTATTGTGTGCGTGAAGTATATACATGTTCTTAGTTACTAATGCTTCGAGTACACACAAAGAAAGCGGGCTCTCATCCAATCGGCACACACATGCGCACACACAGCCGATACTGGTAGTGATTGTCGTCTAGATCTGCTGCATTTACTCCACACTACCGGTAGAAATCGTTCGGATTAGATCGCGTGATTTACTAAATACGATAAAGTCCTAACTAGTTTTTTGGAGGGGAGTTTTTGTGGGACCACCTAAGGCTCTTCCGCGTGCAAATGGGATGTTTCAGAACTTAGCTAGCGTTAATTCAGCGTTGTAAATCGATTTCACCGTTTTATAGACCACTTATAAAGAGTTGTCACCACCATCCCTATTGAACAGTCATTGGAAGGGAACTCTTCTATTTTATATTTCCACTCTGTTTTTCCTCAAATTTGTCAACAAATTGGTTGGTAAGATGGAACAGATGCTTTTTGCCTTTTTATACGTAATCGCTTTCCTGTTTTGGTTGTTTAACAATGATGAGATGCAGCGGTTTCCACTGGAATCTGCAACTAAATAGGCTGAAAAAGTTTCCCCTAGAGGAAAACTGTCTATCTGCTTATTATTTTGATACTATATTGCTAGGAAGAACGACAGATGTATTATATGGGGTCCTCGCATGAATGACATTCACGAATGAATAACCCAGCAGGTTCATGCTAAGAGAACTCTATACTCAGAGGAATAATTGACCAGTAACCAATGGAAACATCGGTGTCAAAAACACCGTTCTTATCTGTTTTTCGGAGCACTCAATGATCTTCACTATCTGTGTTGTAAAAAAAGCATCTAAGTTTGGTAAGTTGATGAGTCATCTATGGCTTATATTTTAACAAAAGAAAAGCTTTGGGATACAACTATGAATATACGTTTACTTCATTCATTCTGTACATGGATCACAACCGAACACGAAAGAGCTCACGACGAGTTTAACACGTCGTGTGCCCGTTGAATTTATTCTTCTCTAAATAACGGACGTGGTTAAATCACAACAAACAAACACATAATTTACTACTAGGATATCTCTACATTTGGTGTTTTGTGCCGATTCTCACTACACAGCTACCTGCTCGGCTTCTGCGTGAGCTGAGGTGAGAGATTGCTCTCGTTTCACTTCTGGCGAAGAAGATATTTCCTTGTTTGAATTGGACGAGGAAGGTGAAAGAGAATGTGGCGGTGACGTGCAAGCTTTAGATTCCGGTTTCAAATCGAGAATCTCGTCAATGGAGAGCTTGCTTCTTTTCGGTGTATGTTTAAAGGCTTGGCCAACCGGCAGAGGTAAGGAGAATTGTGTGGATAATTGCTGTTGCATTTGGAGGAACGCAGGATTGAAGAGAAAGAAGGAATTCATGGAAAACGTAGATGGCTCCAGAAGGCGATCTGCGCAGAACGATGGTCTCAATGATAGGTCCTTCGGCTCGTCAATGGGAGACGGTGAGTCTGTCATGCTGTCATCAAAGTCGTTGTCGTCGTCGCTGTCTGAACCATCCGAACCACCACACGTCTTCTTCAATTCGACACCAATCACGTTTTGTCTAAACAATGAATATTATGTTAAGAATCCGTTTGATAAATTCAGCTTTTATAAAATTCTAGCAGTACTTCTCTTTCCTGGGTGTACTTGATTGTCTTGGGTGAGAGGTAGTGTAAATCATTATAAAAGAACTGATCTTTTTCATTGACTAAGCAGACTACAGAAAATTTGTTTACCATTTATGCACACCAACATCAAACGTATCTTGATAAAAGCTTAAAAATGTTGGAAGGCGAACATTAAAAATTTTGGAAGTCCTAATCATGGCCTACAATGGTTGCGCAGACTCCTTCTAAATTTACTTGTGGGTTCTTTCATATGCACATTTTCCTATTTTTGATATCTTCTGATATTGATCGAAGGTTAGAAATTACATCTCCAAAATAAATGAGGTTTATACTCCTTTGTGCATAAAGTTTTTCCCACACTTCATCTTCAGTTTTTAGGAGACTTTTGCATAACACTACTACACATTCTCCATTTGGTGCCTGAAACTGCAACCCTACTCAACGACATAAATCTTGGAAGCAAAAATCATCTGACAGGATCCCACTAATAAAAGCAGTTAAGTAAGACGACAAGCGACTATTCGACTTCTGATGAAAGCGAGCGGTTAGCTTTAACGATCGAGGTGGGATAAAGCAGAGTATCACCAGGAGGCTTTGCTGATGCTGTGAAACGGTTGCGAGTAGTACGACATTAAGTGGAATGCTCTACAGGTTCTTCGAATACAGCAGAATCCCTAGCTAGCAGGTGTCGTTTCGCAAATGTTGGGTGGGCGCACAATGTGGTGTGACGGTATGCGTCAACAGACTATGGCGTGTTTTAATAACAAATTTCTCGATTCATGCCTTCGATAGGCTTTTATTCGCGTCTCCGTGTCTTGTTTTGTCTACATTCGCGAGAACATTTCAATTCCATAAACTAACACCTTCACAATACCAAGCACTGGATGATTATGGTAGAGCAACAAGGAAAAAATGGAAAATGGAAGACACTGTAGTTGATTGACGAATACCTCACCGAATAATTTTCATTAAAAATTTTTTCTGGAGTGTTTTGTTGCCAAGGTTCCCAAAAGTGCTTCGCGTTTTATGAGTAGTAATGGCTCTAGAATGACAAAAGGCAATAGAGGAGCGGGTCTGAGAACACTCAAAGTGCTTGTGACCCATAGTAAAATGGATAAGGAAAGAAAAGAATAGGATAAAAAAGTAGAATGGAAAAATCTTTTTGTAACTGCACGAACAGTCTGTTTCTAGCAATAGTGGTCTTTCGTTCTATAAACTTGAACTCCTTATTTGAAAAGCTGTTAGATCAACCACGGACTTGGGGCATTTTCGGTTACCGACCCATGATAGTTACCACCACTGGTGGGTGCTATCAGACCAATTTCGAGCTTGAAAAGGCACCAGTGTAAGGCGATGAGGAACCAGAATTAAAATTAGTATTACTGTCGAACGACATCGTATCAGGTCATTCGTCCAATCACAGCTCAGAAGAAAATAAATGAGTGGTCGAGTGGGAATAAAAAGAAGCAATCGGAAACAACAGTTAAAGAAGTAAAAACATACAATGACACACTCTTCTTACAACGACGGGTTAGCTAACGTCACCACTCGTGAGATTTTTCGCAAAAAAACTCCTTTTCTGTAGAAACGAAAAACGTCTTTTAAGCGTTATCTGTTACAAACGTCTTCGACTAGAATATTATTTATGTTTTGGACCATATAGACACAATGATTCGAGCTTATCTGTCTGTTGTTCAGCTAATCGCTAAACTCGATTCGGAAACAATAACCGATGAAGTTTGGAAAGACTTAAGTTGTAAAGTGAACGTAACTTTTAAACACTTCAGAGGGTCGTGGCGGCACAATTAACTTTGCAATTCCAAGGATAAATACACTCAACTAGCATTCATCATAAGATTGAGGACAGGAGACAACAGATCTTCAAGCTGAGGCTTAATAGACACGAGCTCGACTACTAGACGTTCATGGGGCTACGGTTCCAAGCCTTCTCATTGATCGAAAAAATGTAAGCACTCATAGGAAAATTGATGACAGCCACACAAATGCCTAAGTAGTCATGTGGTAAAGAAACATTTAGGTGCATAAGGAGGAGTGCGGGTTTTGCATAGCCAACACATGAGAAACGCCGTCATTGAAAAAGAGTCACTCACTTGTTCTTTGCAGCTGCTGCCCTATCTCTTTGCCGACGGTTTTTGAACCAGTTACCGACTTGCATCGCTGTCAAGCCGGTAGCATTCGCTAGCTCCTTTTTCTTACTTGGGTTTGGATATGGATCCTTCAGATACCACTCTCTTAGTAAAGATCGAGTTCGCTCCTGCAAAAAAGCGGTTAAGAACTTCATCTCCTCCTTCGAGAGTGCGATTTGGTAACACAGTTAACACGTCGTATTTCTTTGCGAAGCCGGCACTCATTACAATTTTTAGTTCTAGTTGCTCGGGTCATTGGAACTTCTTAGCACACTTAACTACTCCCATTAATGGCTTAACTATTTTTTTAAAAAATGTCCTTTAAAGTTTAGCCTCTGATATTGCAATCTAACTGGTACATGCTAATAGCTAAATCTAATTGTACTATGACAAGTAAGAACATACCAGCTTTTGAATATGATACTTTCACAAGCGTATGCAAAGATGATAGAGTTGTCGAAAATATCCATAGTATTTGGATAAAACAAGAAGTGATCCTATCTTGGTCTTACTACTGTTATATCATCATTATCACTACCATTATCAGTAATTCTAACTACTACATTTAACTGGCATTTTACCTTAAAGCAATGCGTTTTTTGCTCTCCGTCCCAGATTGTTCTCGGCATCGGGTACTTCTTACGCACACGATACTTGTCGACCGGTCCGAGAGGTCTAAATAGGATGGTGGTTCGATTAGCTGCTTAACCCGCTTCTCTGTCGATACATATGGTTTTGTTGCTCGAATGCCATATGTCTCTTGACTTACAGCTTTAACGCAAATTAGTAGAATGCAATAATTAGAAGGTAACCGCTGGACGGTGTGCACAGGCCGGCAGACGGCCGACGATACCGCCGTCTTCGGACCCCGTAATTACCACATATTAACTGAACGACGACAACATGTCTTACGGAAGCAACGCTGACGTATCACATTCAATCACGGCTCGGTAGGCACTTGCGCGAATCGACTTAGTCAACGTTAATTTGGAAGCTGCACTTCCTCTATCGTACTTTTCGTCGTTTATAACGTTAGCTTATCAGTGCTGCCACAACCACGCCAGTGTAAATGGCCACTCTTCGAATGAATCATGACCAAGAATTTTTCAGATGCAATACCGTTTACGTTTCTCAAACAAGTACAAAAACAAAGAAGAAAACGATTTAAGAGAGGTCTGACCTGCCACGTTGCTTTTCAGCTTCCCGGTAATGTGCCTCTTGCCACATGTACTGCATTTTCTGATGACTCCCTTGAGTAAATTTGTGATTTTCAAGAATACTGTACAACTGTCGGAAGTCACCCATATGAAAGCACACCAAAGCTCTAGCTCTCAGCACCACCTCATTCGACACCACCTAAACATGTTTCTAGGAATTTATCAAAGAGCGATTTCTTTTTTAGTTATTCTTGAGGGTTCTCTCAGCTTTCGTACTAATATTGCACTTGGTTTCTGTGTCTTATTTTTCCTACTCTACCCTTTTTCAAATAAATCCAACGGATACCAGCAGTTCTTGCACTCAATTTAGATCGGCTGCAATTTGAGTATTTTCTTTTCAACATGGATGTCGTTGAATGCTGGTAAAGTTGATTTTCCCTAGAGTACTAGGATAGCCAGGATAGAGTGTTCCCATCTTGATAACAGAGAGTGAAATTTTCTCAAACAAGTCTTATAGCAATTTCGGAATCCCGAAAAGATGACAAGCTGTTAAGCCTGGCGCGGAATCGAACCAGCATCGTGCTCGTGATGGTTGACATCACTATCATTGTGCTAGACACTTTTCTATGCTTATTAAAAGCGGATAACTCTGCTGAAGACCAGTAACACTCACCTCTTGAATCAAATTTGGTGGAAGACTGTAGAGAAATCGAGCCAATCGATCAACATCGTCTGCTTTCTCTAATTGATCGCACGTTTGAATAATCTGTGGGAAAACAAGATTGAACGAACGATTTTTGCATGTGCAACATTGGCGAATTTGGGAAGCTGTCATAGGTTTTTCCAGCTGTGATTATTAGTGTTGTTATACAACCAGTTACGTTTGGCGAACTCGCTAAGCAGCCCTATCTATCGCAAGCAGGCCTATTTGACGACGAAGTGCTTAGCCGAGAAAGACGTCTATTAGTGGCGACTCACTTTGAAACCGAACAAAATACACAAGATTAGGTTTGAATGGAGAGCCGAAAACGAGATGGATTGGAAACGTGTGTGAGCCGCTTCCGCTATCACTGAACGCAAGAGTATTCTAATCGAGACATCTCGTGCTCACACAAAGAGTCGCCGTGTAAATTTCATTTCGATGTTAGAGAAGCCGTTGAAGCTTGACGTGAGCCGTCAACGACTCTTTCTATCCTATATGGAAAAAGTGATACCTCATTAAGTCGTCAAAAATAAACAGCAATTTTTAAATACATGTAAAGCAACTGGTTGCCATCTCTATTACTTGGAACTATCAGGTTCAAAGTAATCCAGAGGACAGAATAAAAGCAACACTACTTTTTTAAATCTTAACTTTATGTATGAAAATGCTCCAGCCAAAAATACAGGTCCTGCTGAGCGTTCAAAACAGGCTCAGAAGTTTTTACATAATTAATATATATAATATATATCACGAATTTCTGGAACAAAGATTTCTCCCGACCCTTGTGCTGGGCAACGAAACATTCCAGCAACTTCCACTGAGCAATTCGCTGGCATCAAAACAAATTGCAGCCTTCGTCAGCATTGTTACTAAGAAATCGAACTAGGAAAATCAATTTAGAGCTGGTATTAATGTTCTTTTACACGAACCAACATTAGTATTAGAGTCGATTTTTGTGGGGCAACCTTAGTTAAGAAAGCACACTGCTTGCTTAGTCAGTGTGATTACATAAACCAATTGACAAAAAGACTCATATTTGCCTAGGACAATGTACTGAGGGGAATGAAGAGAACTGAATGTTGTTGCTGTTGATACGACGAAGCTAAGCAAAGATGCAAAAGGTTGCGCGAGTTGACTCAGAAAGGAAAGACATTTAAATACTAAAAGCACGATCCGAGCGGAAATGAATCACGTGCCTGATATGGCATCCGTTAGGGTTGTGAATGAATGGTGAACAACATAAATATCCTAGGTTAGTGAAGTCTACAGAAATACCGCTCAGATAGCAACACTGCATTACAATAACAAAAAGATAACATACTTGATCAGAAGTTAAAGTGGATGTTGTCGGTGACCCAGGATTCACAACAGGAATAGCAGCAGAAGCTAGCTGAGGGAAAAGTCCAGGCGGTGGAGCAGTGGCAGAAATATTAGCGGCCTGCAGGGCTTGCAGGGCACCTAGATTCGCGCCCATGCCTTGTAGGGCCAGCTGCATCCATAATTTTTGAAGCTGCTCCGGCGTGAACATTTCTGCGCTGTCCACGCTGGCACACAACCGTACTAACAATGATCCGTCAGCTTGCTAAATGATATGGGCGTGACCGTGAGCGTTCATTGGTGGACGACATCGAGACCACACCCACAGCGTTCATGAGATAGGGGACGGCGCAGCGAGCTGCAGTGTGATACTCCATCGGCAGACTGGAGTCGTCATGAGCCGGAAATCCGGAGGGTTATTCCGGTGCTAGGCACTCTTCACGTTATGTAGTTCTTAGCAAATCACATGAAAACTTCCGGATGAAATAAAGCGGATACCCAGCTTCATGAAGAACTCTTGAAAGCGCCGGAAATAGCGGCTTAGAAAGCTATGATTTCCAATCGTTGAAAACTGAAACGACACAAATTCGATTATTGTTTAGAAAGAGCTGCAAACTTTGTCCTACTTTAATATCGGTCGTTTTTTCTGAATGTCTTTCTTTTCACCTTTGACGCTGCTTTGTCTACAGGAATTCCAATCTCTTGCGAAAGAAACATTGTTGAGGTTGGTCGTTGAATACGGGGCAAAGATGGTGAACAGAAGAAAACCTGTCGAAGAGCGCGATCATTTATTGGACATAAGTAGTCGAGAGTGTTTTTCGCAATTTGGCCGTCTATTCTCAACAGTCACATCAACAAGTTCAGAGGGTAACGGGATACAAAAGTAGAAAGGGTGCCACCTTTAGTGGACGGACCATTAATTCGCCACTGTCCCATGCCTTTCTGGGCTCGAATTCCTGCTAACTGTTGTACACCGAGAAGCTATCGCCTACCGCGGCTAGATCAGATAAGAAAATCGTGAGCATATACCCAGCGGCATCTTTTAACACACTCACTGTTCGCACTTTGCCTTACCGGAGGAGTAGCACTCACGGAAAGTGCTTACCGTAGATTTTACTTTGGGATACAACAACGACGTCTATCTGGACTGAATCGTAATAGATGGCCGATGGCCTCGTTCACATTCTATGGTTACGATATGTTATCAATTCCACCACAATCGCCCGATTTCCCCACGGAGCGCAAATTGCCATCAAGGAGAATTTGTCTATCTCGTGTCGTGCTAATGGCCTGTAATGTAGTGTTGGCTGACTGCTCGCATCTATCCCTCTTCCTTTCTCTACATCTACAACCTCTCTATTTTCCTTTTCTTTCTACTCCATCTTTATCCCTTTCATAGAAAGGGGTCGAAATTCGCCACTATGTTCGAAAAACCTTATACTGAATAGGTGATGAGGAGTTGTCATAAGCAGCTCTCCAAGTTCGTATTCGAGTAAAGAGTGTCGAAGAAGGATAACATTGCAGGTTTTCTAGAAACGTCGATTTTCTTTGGTTTATTTTAGGAACTCGTTTTGGCTTTTTTCCATTCATATCTTGTTTAAAATGTTTACGACTATTTACGATTATATTAGATGTGCTTCCCAGAGCTACTGAGATGCAATGGAAAAGTTCCTACTCTACCCCTTGATCTAGGTAATGCTGGTTTATCGGCTCAGTTGCTTCAAAAGAAGGTGATCACTGGGGTCGAAATTATCTGTGGTGGTTGCATGCTTTTGCCTGTTGGCATTAGATCAAGCGGCAGCAGCAGTCGCTTATTCTGACAATGTTTGCACTAGTGCACTCGATGTAATCCTCACAACGATTAGACGATGGGGCAATTAGGGTAGTGTCAAGCGCGTTGCGTAACCGGCGTCAGCGAATCCACCACAGATGCGCCAACGAACGGCTCCAAACATCGACGATCATCCGATTCGTCATTAGGCTGATATTCTTCAAAACTAGAGGGCAATCAGTTGTTTCTCAGCACATAATGATCTTTTTTACCTAAGTTGAAACCTCAAAAATATTCCGAAATGCCAAGTTTTCAAAAAAAGAAAAGCAATGTGACCGACATTTTTTCAGAAGGACAGCAGCGGAGATACTTCCTTCTGGGTAAACTGCAAAGTGCCGATGGATTACACCTCGCAGACGAAGGAGAGTTGAGATCAGCGATGATAGGTTGACAGTTCCAGTTCAGGGAATAGTGACGATAAGAACCATCTCTAATGCAATGACACGTCAACTTGCGACGCGCAAGTTCAGTTTCTAATTTGTCATACACTCATGTTTTGCTCTGGCAGATGGCTTTTCTTAACCGATAAAAAATACTAGTGAAGTCTCTCGGTGAAAAGCTGCCGCTAAGTGGAAATAAGGAAACCGTTTAGTGAAGCAGTTAAATAGATTGATTATAACAAGTGAAAACGTAGCTGAGAATATTAAGCGTGTCTCGGATTTTATAAAATACCGCACTTCTTCATGGTAATTTAAAGCAGCGAAGGTATTCCTTCTGTTTTAAAAAATTAAATGAAGCTAAATATTTTCCACTGGAAACTAAAAAGGTGGTTTTTAGAATGACTGAATCTTTTATTCGTACATGGAAAGGCAACACAAAGTAATTGGACTAAATGCAGCTGTCGAATTTGTACCGCTAAACAGCCTTTGCTTCTGCGGAAATACACCGCTCTATAATCTTCGCGGGCGAGCGGCTCTCTGCACGATTCTCTGAGCTCGCGGTAGATACAATATCCATGTCGAATAACGAGATGTCTCAGTGTTTGTTTATCTGATCTTCTATGCATTCAGCGTATCGAGCCCTCACATTTCACGTAATCCATGCAATGCTCTCCATTTTCCGAGCGGACAAGCGTCGGATGAGATTACTGTACCGTGTCTGCGCGTGTTATATTCGGACCCCGTATCACATTACAGTACACCACACGACTTACCCCGCCCACTGCGTAATCTCCACGGCGCCGAGGGCAATGTACTATGAGTGAAGGTGCGTAGCAATTTCTCTGCAAAATTTTAAATACATTTTTTCGTCAAATTCTAGCGACTCGGTGGGTCACTGTGCCTATGAAGTGCTAAGAACATTTTGTTTAATGTCATTTCACACCTCGTGTAAAAGAAATAGGAGCGTAAACACTTACTTAGAACAACATGCTCGATGCTCAGAGAATTTTTACAGAAGTTGTACGCTAAATGCTATGGTCTAATGTTCTGAGAACTCGGTTGCATGAATGAAACGCGATGGCAAATTTCCTACACATTAGGAGGCCCTAGAGGTTGTGAACTCAGTCGCCTATCCTATTTCGCTACGCAAAAGAAAAAATCGTTGTGCCGGCAGTGTGACTATGATAGGCATCAAATGTCGTCTAAGTCGCAGTCAAGGACTGTGTATTCGTCTTCGCACGAACCTTGACCATACAGTAATCCTGTTAGCGCGCCACTCACTCGCCAATGATACGCAGCTTATGGGCGACTTAAACGCATACATCGGGCCCTCGACAGAACAAATGAACGAGCGACAACGAGATCCGGTGGTGAAGCGCCAAACAACCGCTATGCGCTGCTTGACGATTGCCTGCTATACTCTTCCACACCATACACCACAGAGAAGACTTCAACGATTCTTCCTTTTTCATCTTCAAACGGTGAATTGCACTAGTAATAATGGTAGTTTTAAGTGCCAAATGAAGACGTTTGTAAACTTCAGACTTTTGTAAATAAATGTCCAAAATGAATAAATGTGTAAAAATGTTGCAGAAATAAGGGCGCATTTGCTGACGTTTCGATCAGAATTGCCCACACTTCTTTGTTTGTGTCCATTCAACGGACTAATGAACGGAACTAGCACACGACTACTAGCGGAGGGGTAAAGCGTTCCAGTCAGTGAGCGCATTGATGACAGTCACACGTCCTGGATCTGCAAACTATTATTGAATGAATCAGTTTACTCTCTACTTAGTACCTTTAGTGGTTCTGTGTTCACAAATTTTTAGGTAGTGTACCGAGCAGATTAAGTTTTAACAAATCAACATGCCAAAATATTTCTTGTAACTTGAAGGATTAACATGATGTACAGATGTAGATATTTAGGCTATTCAATGTATGAATCAAATTCTGTGGAGGTGAAAGTTCCTTTAAGTTTATTTATTGGAAACTTTTTTAGCAAAGTGTACTGCTGAAAAGATTTGCCGTCATAGCATTCTCGCCATTCATACGAAAATGGCGATGTAGACCAACTGTGGTGTAAACAAAAATATCTGCCATACTTTGGGACGAGTTGACCTCTGAGCCATACTTTCAAAAATTCCTTTTCTCCCTAAATTTAACTCACTTGTCTAGGGTGGGAAAACGTCACTTTTTGCTCATGAACACCTTAAAGTGCAAAACTCATCTAGCCATATGCGGAATTCAGTTTTTTATCTCATTTGATTGTCGGGCTTTGGAAGTCACCGAATTTGATTGCAGTCTAGGCTCTTCAATGAAGAGGCGAAGCAGTGATTCTGACTTTGGCTGGTGTCAAGGTGGTCTCCAATTACGACGTGCGGTTGGCTGTCGTCGATTAGCTGCACTTAGTCGTCAGCTATTGTGTATATGTCCCAGGTTACAGTATGCAGGAGTGTAATTGCGTCCGAAACATGCTAAACGCCAGCGGGGGTTATTGAGACACGCACACTTAGTGTCTATTCACACTGGCGACCACCTGCAGTGTGAAACACCTTCATCGATACAGAGACCAACTTTGGGTAAGAATATGAGTAGTTGGTTCTTTGTAATAAACATTACGCAGAGAAATTTCGCTTGTTTTTCAAATCTCAAGACGGGAAGAGAACAAATCCTTGAGAGAGAATACAAGGGCTTGGAGGCGTGCATCTCTACCAAAAAAGCCAGAGTAGAACGCATATCTGTCACCTCTTTTAAAATGAATTTCGTGAGTAGAAATATGTGAAGATAGTCAATACCATGCACTAGTTTATCATTCCATGCTTAAATTCCACGTTGTATCTTCGTTACCTGTACTGGTGAATCGTCGCGTTTGTTCTTCCATTCAAAGTGAAGGCTAGAAATAACCTGCCAGAAGGATAATAAGATGACAGTTAGTGCAGATAACCTGGGGCTGAACTCATTGAATATTCAGTTATTCATCAAGTTCGGCGGGAAAAAGTA